CTGACCATCACCTCTTACTTGATACACTTTCTTCACTTGGTTTCCAGGGTATCACATACTCCCATCCCACTGGTTGTTCCTTTTCATCTCTGTTGACTTGTTACTTCCCTTCTCCCATCATCTTAATGTTGGGGCTCAGCCCTACATATTATCTTCTCTTTCTATACTCACTCTCCTAGTTATGCCACCCAGTCCCACAAATCTATATATCATCTGTATTCAGGTGATTTCCAAATATTTATCTCCAGCCCAGACCTCTCTAATAAACTCCAGACTTGAGCCTTATAAACATCTCCACTTGGATGTCTACTAGACATCCCAAACTTAACATGTCCAAAACAGAACTGCTCTTTCTCCCTAATCTTGCTCTATCTGCAGTCTTACTCATCTCAGTTTATTGTAATCCCATCTTTCCAGTTGCTGCCCCGGAAAACCTTTAAGTCATCCTTGACTCTTTTCTTTGTTAACTCAATCTGTCAGGAAGTCCTGTTGGCTCTACTTTTAAAATAGGTTCAGATTCAAACCGTTTATCACCACGTCCTCTGCTACCATACTGATCTGAGTCACCAAAATCTCTCACTTGGACTATCACTTGAAATCTCTCCCTACAGCCTATTCTCAATACAACAACCAGAGTGATCCCTTTTAGTCAGATAATGGCTACAATAAAAAAAAAGAACAATAATAAATGTTGCTGAGGATATTGAGAAAATGGAACTCTCAAGCATTACTGGTGGGAGCATAAGCCCCTTTGGAAAACAATTTGGCAGTTCTTCAAAAATCTAAATATAGAGTTACCATTTGACCCAGTAACACTAGTGGTAAGTAAACACCCAAGAGAACCGAAAACATATGTTCACACAAAAACTTGTATATAAATGTTAATAGCATAAGAGCCAAAAAGTGGAAACAACCTGAAAGTCCATCAATTGATGAATAGATAGTCAAAATGTGGTTATAGCTACACAATGAAATATTATTCAGCCATAAACAGGAATGAAGTACTGATACACACTACAACATGGATGAACCTTGAAAACATTATGTTACGTGAAAGAAGCCAGACAAAAAAGGCACACATTGTATGATTCTATTTATGTGAAATGTGCACAAGAGACAAATCCATAGAGACAGAAAGTAAATTAGTGTTTGTCAGGGGTTTGGGGAAGGAGAAATGGGGAATGACTGCTAATGGGTGTGGGGTTTCTTCTCCAAGTGCTGAAAAGTTTCTGGAATTAGACAGTGGTGATGATTGCACAACTTTGGAAATATACTAAAAACAACTGAATTTTATGATATATGAATTATATTGTAATTTTTGAAAAAATGACTTCAAGGTTTTGAGTTTCTTCTCTATGGTTTCCATATACAAGACCAGCGATCTGGACCAGATTTACCACTACAGAGGACTGAATCTGTCTTCGAGCTTCATGGAAGTCAATCAACAAGGAAACCATCCCGGACCAAATAGTTCTTACATGACAAATGAAATCTGAAGGTGGAAACTTTTTCCAGGGAGTAAACTTTAGGAAACAATTACAATGTAAATCCTTATATCAGGGACTCTTAGGTAATATAATAGATTCAGTCTTTGTGGTTTTGCCCAAGACAGAGAAACATTCTTCGGAAGGATGTCTCTTCCATTGACCAACTCTAAAAGATTAGGGCATAAAATCAAATTGCAACTAACTCCACAAAGGAATTTTTCCAAAATAGTATAGCTTATTTCCAAATGATCTAACTATATAGAGAGAAAGTTTGTGAAGCCGAGAGGCACAAAGAATCACATTCCCACATTCCCTAGACCAACTTCCTCAAATACCAGATGTCGCAACTGAGCATTTGGCAATTATTAGAGGGCAGTCTAAATTCTGATTTGTACTGTTGACTAAATAAATGTCCATACGTTTTTGATACTGGACATGCAGGTAGCAAAGTCAATATACTGTCATGAGAATTTAGGGGTTTGATTTATACCCTTGTCTCATCAGATAGTCACAATATTTCCAAGCTGGGGCAAACCCTAGAGCTACATGCAGATGGGGGTAAGAAGTTTTTCAGATTCAGCAAAGAATTCAGACTCTTCTCATTTGGACAAGCACTTAGTTGAGAGCCTAGCATTTGCGTTGTTAGACATGGAAGGCGAAATACGGGTCTGAAAAGCTCGAAGTGCAGGTGTTTTTAATCAACTGTCTCTATCATGAAAGTATTTCAGTAGAATCCCTGCAAAATGTGTAATTTGGTGTAGTCCTGTGTTTTTGATGCACTAGCTCCAAAATGTACTCCCTCAAATAGACGGATGACCTATTTGGAGTGAGAGTATGTTTGTTTTGAACACTGCACTACAATGTTTTTCCCTATAAATGCTTACTGAATGAAGAAATGAATGTTTAAGAAGTTATATTATAACATCACGATAATATTAGAGTTGAATATTTTTCTTATACAATTTTAATAGGAATGCCATGTGCTATGCTATAAACGAATCATTCTCAGATGACGAAAAGTCAGGAATTTTTTCTAATTTTACATTCTTGGTTGTTTCCTCATGTCTTCTCCACTACATTATAAGCTCTTTGAAGACGTCATTCACCTTTACGTCCTCCACACAGTGCCTACTCCGGTACAAGGCCCATTAGCAGATACTCGGAAAACAATGGGACGGAGATACTGAATAGAATTAGTTGGGTTTTTTTTTAAAACTTCAAGGTTCTGATGCAGAGTGAGTGTGAAGGTATAAAGGCAGGCCAGTGTAATGGACACTCCACTCCAGAAGCTAAAGAAAGACAGCTATTCCTCTCCCCTCCTTCTGGCAGCTGGAGTGCAGGTCAATGACTAGTCATAGCCAGACAGACCCTGCTATTAGGGACTTTGATTCTGGAGGAAATGGCTCAAAGGTGCAGAGTTACGTAGAGTTTGAGGCATCATTGGCAGGATTGTGAATTTGTGGCACAGTGGCTGGTCTCCAAGGACCAGATAACAGAGCAGCTTCCCAAGCAGCCCACTCCCAGAGCAGGAATTTGGCCTCATCTTGCCCATTATCTTTGTTCCTGCCCCAGCCTGGCTCCAGATTTCTGTCAATTCATGAGCCATCCATGTAAACTGAAGAGTAAACTTGAAGGCAACCAAAAAGTACAAAAATACTAAGACTGCCTTCCCTACTCATTTCCCTGGAAGACTTATCACTACTTACCCATTAACTCAGTCAAATAACGTTTACGGTTTTTCATCCATACTGCTCTCTCAGATTTTCCTAGCCCTTCCCTGAAATAAAGTTATCTTTTAAAAAAATCTAAATGTCAATTTAGATTTCAAATATCTAAAAATCTCAAAATGGATATTTTCTGCTATGTTAAGGAAATGCAACAAATGAAATAAAGAGATTTTTTTAAAATCCAATATGCACACAATAGCCAAAGGGGGAAATCACTGAAATGTCTATTAATGGATGAATAGATTTTAAAAAGGTGGTATATCCATGCAAAGGAATATTATTGAGCCACACACAGGAATGAAGTACTGAAACATGGATGCACGAAAACATTACACTAAGTGAAAGAAGACAGAAAATGGTGATGGTTGTACAACATCGTGAATAGACTTAATGCCACGGAATTGTACACGTTAAAATGGTTAAAATGGCAAATTTTATGTTGTGTGCATTTTACCACAGTAAAAAAAATTTAAATCCAATATGCAAAGAATTTGAAGAAATATAAAGCAGAATATTTAAAACAAGATTCCTTCTATTTGCAGTAGAACAGAGCGGTTTGCCAAAAGAATTTTTCTGGTTGTAAAATCTTTGTAGTTCCAACTTTCTCTCAGAACTCTCAGTGGAGTTACCTGTCAGGCATTCAAGTTTTCATATTAAGAAATAACCTTTTGTCTTGGTGAGAGGAAAATAAAGCTCATTCAAAAGGCTTTTTCATTTATCTCTGATCGCAATCATATCCCATTTCATTTAGACATAATAAGGAAGTTGTGAAAATGAAGTATAATTTGATGGATCTTGGCAAATATAATTTTTCCACTCTGGCAAAGTTTAAAGTTCTTTTATCACAGATTAGCATCAGTTACTCAATTTTCCAAAGACATGGGTGTTTACAGGGGAAAAATGGGCTGAAGACGTGGGATTTACATAATTCTTCAAACCAGGATAACAAAAATGTGCTGCTAGTTGCTATTCCATAATTGAATGGCTCGTTAATGTAAAATTGTTTTAAGTTTGCTCAAAGGAGTCCTGGGAAATACCATTTAATCAATTTTTTATTCTAAAATTTTATAACTCCTTTATCTTTTATTTTTCTCATCTCTACATTTCCCCAAAATCTCACATACATCAGTGGTAAAATATATATATACACACGCATGTACGTACACACACGCACTCACATATAGATTCTAAGACCTTTCAATTATTGCTTTCTATCCCAAATAGAGCTGAAAAAGAAAACCCTACAAACTAGTAAGTATTCAACTTTCAAAGTATCAATGTCAGTGTACTTGTATCAAAGCCAGAGTGAGTGTCTTTTCATTCTACTAAGAAGTAAAAATGGTGAGCTGTTTCCTGCATTACTTAGGGTAAATTAAAATACCAGCAAGTCCAGCTTCTATTTTTCAACTTATTAAAAAGTGTGTGTTGCTTAAAAAGGAATTTTCAATAACCTTTTGGGGGAAAATCACAAGATTTTCCCATCTAAGTTCCTTGGAGGAAACCATCTTAATGCTTTTATAAATAAGGAAAGTATTTCATTTCAGAAGCACGTAGAATACAATTACTTCATTTACTTTTAGAGGCTTCATCAAAGTAGGTTTTGAATCCATGCTCTTCAGAGCAGGTGCCTGTAATTAAAGGCAGTCCTCTCCTGACTCATTTCCGGTGCTTTGGAGGGCTCTGCTTGAGAGCACTAACTCACTCTGCATTCATAAGGAAGATATTATTGCCAAGTCCCGCCAAGCCCTCTGAGAAATTCATCAGTGCTACAAACTACTGACCTTACCCTAAACCCATCTGCTTGCAGGCCAGCTGACTCAACGTCTCCTGCCAGCCGTCTGCACACACATGGTGTTCTCTGGCAGATTTGTGCACAGTCAAGAATGAAGAGGAGTTCACCTTTTTAGAGAGGGTCACTGAGGAAAAAAAAAAGGAAAATCCCAATTAAAATCACTTCTTGGGGGCCAGCCCCATGGTATAGTGGTTAAGTTCAGTGTATTCCACCTTGGTGGCCCGTGTTCGAGGGTTCAGATCCTGGGCATGGACCTACACCACTTGTCAGCCATGCTGTGGCAGCGACCCACATATAAAGTGGAGGAAGATTGGCACAGATATTAGCTCAGGGAGAATCTTCTTCAAGCAAAAAAAAAAGACGAAGATTGGCAATAGAGGTTAGCTTAGGGCAAATCTTCCTCAGCAAAAAGAAAGAAAAAAAACCCATTTCTTCTCATGAAACCAAATGATAAGTTTCCGTGACTTTGCTTCCCTTACACACATTCATTTTAATTTATTTTAGTTAAGAACCATTTGGGAAGTACTCACCCTGTGCAAATCACTGCTCTCAGTGTGATGGAAGACTTAGATTAGAAATGAATTAGAAATGTTCTCTGCCCTCAAAGAACCATAGGCTCTAGTGAAAGAGACAGACAGTTCTTAACTTTTCTTCACGAGTTAGAAGATGGCCACAGGCAGGGCCCATTCCCCTGAGTTTACACAAGGATTTGCATAACTATAAGGAGCTAGTTGTAACTTCATTCATATTTCCTTTCAAGAGAGCATATGAGAATGCAAGCGTGTGAGTGATGTTAACTTTGGATTAATTTGGTATGTGCACTAATTCCTATTTTATAGAAGAGCATCCTCTGTAATTCTTAATAAACACAGATCATTTGTGGAACACTGCACAATTAATCACAACGCACATGATAATCATGATTTGGCCAGATGACGTAAAGGACTGGAGTAAGAGCCAAGCGAATGGAAGAAGTGATGAGTATGAGACGATAGAATGAATCAAACTTGAGACTACCAACTGCAACATTGATCGTACTGGCGGGAGATGCCTTTAAGTGCTGTCTATGTAGGGGAGTGGACAGTTAAAAGTCCCATCTGGAGCAAGAGTATAGGGAAGATGGAAGGGCCACTTTCATATCCTGTTCCAGGATGTGTCAATGATACAAGAATGACAGAATATTGGTAACTGTTGAAGCTGGATGATAACAAAGGGTTAAAATTTTTATTATAACAGTTACGTTTCTAAAAGTTTGAACCCCAATTTTTTAATATATAATACGGAAATTTCAAATAGAGAAGTAACTTGGGGGAAGTTTTCTGTGAGTTGGAAATAATATATATGAATCACCACTGCCAGCTTTTCTAATAGGAAAGCAAAATAGATGAACTTGGTTAGTAAAATTCGCGAAGCCATTTAGGATTCGTTTCACTTAAACAGCTGGCAGGCCTTAGAGTGCACAGCACATGGCAGAAACAAGCCACTTACCACAGTCCCACTCATCTGAACTGTCTAAGCAGTCGGCTTCACCGTCACACCACCGGTCACGCGACACACACTCGTGGTTTGCGCATTCTAGGTCATCATCTTGGCAAAGTGCTGGCAAGGGGCACAAAAAGCAAGAAGACAGAAACGTTTTAGAAGTAAATGTGGTTATCACTACATGCACATTATCATTTGCCAGCAGGAGCATGGAAGGAAGAAAAGATGTTATCACCAAGACCTCCAAACAGGTGTCAAAGACAGAATAACAGAATTGGTACGATCTCATGTTGGAGATGCCAATGCATACAAATAACAGTCATTTAAACAGAACTACTATCTCCAAGTGACTAGATTCTCTAGTTCTAACAGCAGGATTAGAAAGGGGAACCCAAAGCAGTAGAAATACCAAAGATTACAGAACAGGGTTGAAATCTGAAGTGGCATGAGCAGACTAAAGTCACCATAGGACGAAAACAAGCTCTGTCCACACATATGGATAATGTTTTTGGGCTTTTTTAGTCTCTACTATTAAATGACTTTTTCAGTCACATACTAATTCCCTCTTGGGTTTTTAAAAATTGTAGTGAAACTCCTTGATTGCCTACCTAGCATCCTTTCCTTTCTTGCACCTTTTTTAAGGGAACCTGATTTTGTTCAGGCCCCTCACCCCAGCTCCAGAGAAAGATCCTGATTAGGTTAAGTGGAACATGGCATTTTTCTGACTATGATTACTTTTTCTGAATATAATCATTAGTCCAGGAGTAAATATGCAATCCAAGATCAGGGTCTTGCCCTATGGTTTTGTGGGTTGGGCTTTGCAAAATAGTTCCTGCCCAAACCCTGCTGGCCAGGCTGTGTGTCCCAGCCCAGGATAGGGGCAGGCGGGAGGAAACAGCATCTTTTTCTAATTGGTTCTCCCTAAGGGGGCCTTCCTTTTGCAATTCAGCTGTTTGGGTGGAGTCTTTTCTAATTTACACAAAGGCTCCTGACAGCTCACTGGGACTCTGCTCAAAGTTGACCCATCTGAGTGAATCCCTAATTGATGCTTCAGAGATGAGGGCAAGGTTCTTGCTCCTTCTCACTGGATATGATCAAGGAAGCATGGCACCCCAATGCTCTTGGGAGCCATCTTGTGACCCTGATGGGAGCCAGCCAGAGGTCAAGCCAAACAAAAGAACCACAGAAGAGGTGCTGAACTCCCACACCCAGCTTCAAGAATCCACCCTACACTTGACTTTTTCTATGATAATATGACATATGTGATATAGACAATAATAAAAGATAAATGTCTTCATTGTATAAGTCAGTTTGAGTTGGGCTTTCTGTTACTAGTAGGTAAAACATCTCAGGAGATATATATATTTTTCTGATTCTAAAACTACTAGCCATTCATTTAGAAAATATAGAAAAGACAGAAACAGCACAAAAATTTACTAATCCCGCCATCCAGGGATTATAATTGTAAACTTTTTATCATGACCTTTTCCTATATGTGGTTATATATACTTTCAAAACTCTGGACAGTAGGACACCTAATACTTTGTTTTGTTTTATTCACCTAATGATATGTAATGAACCCAGGAGTAAATATTCTTCCAATTTAACTTTTAAAGTTTACATATTATTTTATTTTGTGGTTGTTTTTAATGCCCCCTATTTTGGAATATTTGGAGTGTTTTAACTTTTTCTATGTGATAATGCTAGAATAATATCATTGTGCAAATATTTTACACACGCTTGATGGTCTTCTTGACATACGTTTTTACAAGTGCAGTTTTGGTCAAAAGGTCTGAACATGTAAAAAGCTTTTGATACCTATTTCCAAATTTCTGCCTTACATTCAAAATGAGGAGTAATTAGTATTTAAAATAAAAATGTTGTGTTGATCAGTTCATGCCATCACTTACAGCAGTTTTTTTCATCCATGCTTTCAGGGCAGTCTGGGAACCCATCACAGACGACTATGGGCTTCAGACACTGTTTATTAGATGGACATTCCCAAAGCTCTCTCTCCTCACAGCCTGGAAACAGAAGAAAAGGTTATTTGTAATAGATGTGGAGGTGAAAATAATGGTGAATTTGATCAAGCAATAAAGAAAAATTACAACACAAAGGCATGATTTCCTTTTTCTTAAAGAGTTTTGACTCCTGTATCCAATGAAAAATGTAATTTTAAAAGTAGAAATACTCCATAATCTCCATCCTGCAGTATAAGTAGTGCAGCTCTCCTAAGATAAGATCAAAAGTGACATATGGGAAATGGGAAAAAAACGCAAACGCAATTATACATTAATATTCATCTTGAGCTGTTCCTTTTGCTTTCTGAGTCAACTTGCCAACACATAAGACTTATCTATAAAATGATGAGTTATGCTTTTAGGCAAATATGCCAAAACTTAGTGATATAAATGCATATTATCTCAAAATGTAATTTCAGTCAACAAATGGAGAGGCCATCTGTGTGTTTAGCAAAAGAGCCTCTTTCGATGTCAAATACCTACAAAACCAGTGTAAGAGCCAGGTGTGAAAGCCGTTACTTTAGTAATGTAGTCAGAGATCTGAGGGTAGAAACTTGATCAATGAATATGAGAAATGAACAAAATTTGCACAAGGTCAAGACTGTGAGCTCGAGCTTGAACTTAACTTGAATCTGCCTGTGAAATAGCAAGCACTGGTGATGAACTTAATAAACGCCATTTGATTCAAATGCAGGGCATTTCATACATCCACTAAAACATGCCAGGAGTCTCATGTGTTCTCGTCATTCCAGCTGGATCCATGGCCCTCACCAGGCTGTAAGGTGCATGAAGAAAGACACCACATGGCATCAGTCTTTGGGTACTCTTCACCCCCTGCCTAGAACATTGGCTAGCCCTCGGCAGGCCCTCAACACATGTGTATTTTAAATGGAGCTTTATTCACGTAAGGAACAAAAAGTCTCTTCTTCGCAGGAAAAGATAATTTAGTTTAAGGTGAGTGAAATGCAAAGCAGTCATCAAATAAGGAGTTCCCAAAAACATGCTATTTCTCATCTGACCTAGTACAAATAATTCAGAGAAATTTTGTAGATGATTGACTCAGGTTTTTTGGAATCCATTAAAACAAAAAATCTGCTCTTTTCAAAATTCTCATTGAAAACCGTTATCAAATTAAGTCCTCAGAAGAGACCTTTTTACTCTGAGCTAAAATTAGATTTACAGTGTTTCACCATTCAAAGATATAGGAAATAAACAGTGAGAGCCCTTCACTAGCTGTACATCTGGAGTGGTCTTAGGTCCAGGGACATCTATTCTAGGAACTCATGGGGATCTTATTTGGAGTTTTCCGCTAGAAGAGGATATAGACATTATCTGGAATGTTCTGACAATGATAGTCCCTTGTGTCCCTGAAGATTTGAGAAGGAGCCCGTAGTCTGCTCTCCACAGCTTAGCTCCTGCCAAATGGCACAGTGGGTCCATTCCACCAGAGAGCAAGGAAAATGAAGACAGAGGTCTCAGCCTCCCACAGGGCCTCCCCAGCTCCAGGGGCTGCTTCTCCGACCACAAACCACACCACTTGCTAGTAGAGGATGAGAGAAAATAGTGTGAGTCTTTCTATCTGTTCACAAGGTACCCTCCCTACGAGTAAAGAGAAGAACTTGAACATTTGGAATGAGCTGATAAGTAGATCTTCTGGGACATAAGGCCTGCATCCGCATGAATAGTCATGGTAATAATAAGAGATAACATTGATTATGCACTATAAATCCACATTCTCAAGATGAGTTATAATTCTTACAGTAACACCACACTCTCAATATTATGATCACCATTTTATAAGTCAGGAAACTGAGATTTAGAGAAAATAAATAAACTGCTCCAAATCCAGCCTTACAGAGAAAGATCCAGGTGGGATCCAGGCACAAGTCTTTAGCTGCAGTCCTCTATAAAATGAGAACGTACAGTGTGCATAAGGAGTAGGAGCGCGGGAAGCACAGTTTCGCATCAAATCACAGCTCCAAATCTCACTAGCTGTGTGACCGTGACTAAGTTACCTAACTTCTCTTATCCTCAGTTTCCATATTTCTAAAATAATAATGGTAATATCTGCTACATAGGGTTGCTATAAAGATTAAAGGAGTACTCTATATGCATTAATTTACTCTTCTGTATCTTCTCTTTTCTAATAAAAGTTTATGTGGGCTAATACCTCCTTTGCGGAGTGATGGTGAGCATAAAGGAAGGAGAATGAAAAGGTCAAGACAGTCACATGGAAGAGAGTATGATTCTTTTGTGAAGAAACTACTTTCTAAGTGACACTTTTGGTATAATTTTGTTTTAAATGTATGCTTCCAAAGGAAAAGGGTATGACTCCATTAAAAATTAGACAGGTATGAATGGGATGGAATGTGTAACGTAGCTGTAGGTCGTGAAACCAAATAGTCGTTGATATAAGGATAACAACCACCCCAGCACAGAGATAATGACAGAGCCCACCATGGGGGCCAGGTGCGTTGCTGAAGTGACCAACTTGTCCCCATTGGCAGAGACTTAAGCACTAAAAGTCCCTCGGTCTAAGAATCCCCCTCAGTCCCGGGTAAACGGGGATGGTTCGCCACCCTGAGGGTGCTCAGCATTCTGCTGGGTTCTCCACTTCCTCCAGCCCCATTTTCAACAAAACTCTGTGATGCAGGCTTCTCTGCCAAGGGCAGATGCCACCTGAACTGGGGCATCTTTTTTTCTCTACCAAAAAAGTTGACATTATAGGGTAAAGACAGCAAACTGCCTTAAAGTAGATGCTTCTCGTACTGTAAGAATCTCTCAGTTATGCAAATCTAGGGTAGACAGGTCTGTTCATTAGGCCCGCTAATTGAGCTACATAAAATAAAAAATATCTTCAGGGAGGAGCTGGTCACAAGGGGAAAGGGGCAAGGTGATTCTGGGTCCTGGAGCTGGCAAAAGTTGGAACAGTCTGGATCTAGCCATCCTGGGCCACCATGTGTCCCAGGAAGTAGCTGTGGGTGTGACCTTGGAGCGGATCACAGGAGCTGGACCAGTGAGGCCCAGGCCTAGAAGGTGTGAAGGCCCCTCCAGAGCATGTGACTCTGGGCGATGGAGCCCTAATCTCTAAAAACAGCCACAGAGGTCTCTGCCCCAGCACCTGTGGTGGCAGCCTGAACAGAGGCCTTGCCTCCCCATTGGACTCCAGGCCTGCCTGTCAGGGGCAGCAACACCAGGACAAGTCTTAGAGCTCCCATCTGCAACTAGAAAGTCCCAGCAGTCACCCCAATTCCTGAGTCAACGCCCCTTTTTAGGGGTACCATGCTCATGTCATCCTCCTCAATATATGCCGGCCTAGTACTCTGTGAAGAGGCAGGATGAAGAAATGGAAAGAGCTCTAAACTCAGGCTGGGGGCCCCTGCAGTGACTGTAATCCTGGAGACGGGGACATCCACCCCAAAACAAGCACAACCTCTGGACAATGCGCCACCCTGCTGCCCATGTTTGCTGCGTGAACCAGGGACTCTGTCCGGCCCATGCTTTGGACGCGACACGTCAGCCTGCTCTCCTCTGCCATAAATAAGACCTTGGTTTGTCAGAAACAAGACCAAGCCAGACAAGAGTCCTTCCCTTAATGGAGATCCCTGGGGCGACCTTCAACTGGAATTGCTTTCTGGATTTCCTAGCATCATGGCAAGTCAGTTCTTAGTTGTTGTCTTCTGAGGACTGAATAAGGCATGTTATAAGCATTCCAAGCTGTGGAGGATAAAACGAGTGTTCTCCACATTTTGCAAGGGAGGAAACTGAAGTCGAGAGAGGTTAAGTGACTGGCCAGAAGTCACACAGCCTCTAAGTGCTGAGTCAAGACTTAAATCCAAGTCTACGTCTCCACAGAGCACTCTCTGCCATCCCAGCCTGCTTGCCCAGGATGCCATATAAGATAGCAAAGTGGCTAACCAAGTGCAAAACAGCTAAAGGGAAGAAAAATGTCTCTCCCTTCACATGGAAAAATTAAACCCTACTGAGCGATCAGAGATCCTGAAGATTCATCCTGAAAGCACATTTGTGGGTATGTGACACAACACGGACACAATGACTCACTCAGCCTTCTGCTAGTCACGGTGAAGAGTCAGTCTCTGCCACAAGTGGAGAGATGTGAAAGCATGGGGCCTGGCTTTTAAAGCACTAAACAAGCCCGTGAAGCCCTTCTCTGTGAGAAGTTATACAAAAATTATTAAAGAGTCCAAACAGACAGAAAACAGTCTTTGGAAAACTTTTGAAATGAAGCTGTAAAACCCACAAATATCAGAGTCAGAGGCTTTGAACACAGCCCGAAAGGGTTTTGACCCTGAGAAGGTGTTCAAGTCATATTTAATTACTTTATTTTATATGAGCCCAAGAGGAGATCAAAGATAGATGACGATATGATTTTCAATCATCTGAAGATAAACAGAAAGACACTTAATGACACTCAGATATTTGTAATCTGAAAGATTGTTGCCAATCTTTCTCCATATGATGTATGCCCTTTCCTATAGATTAGTAGTCAATTAGTCATTGTGATGCTGTATTCATCTAACAAAGAGTTTTATTTCTACAGTAGATATAAAGAAAGCTTTAGCTATATTCTCACTGAACTGTCCCAGTGAGCAGACTTGCTGCTCTCATCACAGCCCAGGTATCATCTTGCTCATGCTGGTAGCTCACCCAAATTGTGGGCACAGAGTTAGCAAAAGTTTACCTCAGTCTCACAAACTCAAATCTATAGTGTGATGTCAGAGCTCACACATATAATCCCGTTATTTTCTTTAGTTTTATTTTCTTTTATGTTGTTCTTATTCATTTCTTTGACCAGATCTTTGCCTTTTTATCCATTGCTTAGATACCAATGCTTGGAAAAGTTTGTATTGAAAATAAACTCGTTTCATCAAGTCACTACTTTTAAAGAGAGCTCCACACAAATACTATATGTTAAATTAATGACAAACCATCATCCTTTAGGATAATGAAGTGCTTCTTGACTGACGGTGTTGACTCTATAAATCAGTCCCATCTTTTAGGCTTCCCTCCCATGAAGCAATTCTGGAATGATGCGCTCAGATATGCATAATTCTTCCAAACACTTGCTGAAAACATTTTTAATATTGACAGTGTTCTCAACTGCTGTTTACATTAGCAGTTACACAATCAAAACAACTTCAAGGATAAAAATTTACCACAAGAACAGGAGACACTTCAGAACAACATTGCTCATTGCTGCATTCTAACCAATATATTTTAACAGTGTATTTATAAAGGATGTGCTTTGGCCACCATGTTTTCCTGCTGTAGATGTGCCAAAGAAACACAAAGTAAATTTCCAACACAGAAATTACATTAAAATTAAATTAAGTAAGTATTGTTTTGAAGGGAAAACCCAATAATGTTGTTAGAAGTTCTAGGGAGCTGCAGATGTGTGAGAATGAATAGTAAATAGTCACATTATTCAGTACAGCCCAAGCCAACTCCACAATGGACAGAATAAGTCAAAAAGACATGAAGCTTGGGGAGAAACCCAGCTTCGCTGGAGCCGGTGTTTGCATTACCAGATGGTATGCCTATGCACACTTATGGAAATAGAGAGAAAAACTGAACAAGTAGGCAAAATCAAAACTGGTTGATTTAGCAATGGTCCTCTGTTGAGCTATCCTCAACCTGACATTCTTATTTGATTTTAAGTGGCGTGTCCTCCCAGAGCATCAGACATGCCCCTTCAGTTGTGTTCATACATCCCAAAAGGGAGAGTATGTGGAATTTCTATTATCAATTGCTTTGGAAAACTTTATGAGTTTTCTGATAACATAGTAGTGTTGCAGCAATTAATGTAACTTCAAGCATAGTAATTTCTTACTCACTTTTATCTTTTCTTAACTAGAGCTCTGATAGTGCCAACAATATTTTGAGTGTTTGATAAGGATTAGGCAATTTATTCTATCTTTCCAGTGTGCCTCAATGCTGTGGTTGAAGCATTGATGAAAATTCATTACTTAACTAGAATTCTGACATTTTAGGGTTATTTAAACTCTATAGCACTTTGAATTTCTCTTTGCGAGAATATATTCTTGAACTCAGACTGATCAGTCTTGATAAGGCTCTTTTTGAAACTAAGCTTTTACATTTTTCAAAGATTTAGTCCTCTACTGCAAATTTAGGTCTAACCAGCCCAATAGAGTATCATGAAACATCTTTGGAACCATCTAAAATAATCTATTTTAAATTGCATCTCAGAATACCATAACCCATCAAAGTCATAGTTTTGTGAACAAATCTAATAGATTCTCAATAAATTACTTATATAAGGGATATTCAATGAGTTTTGATTTATTCCTTTACATAAAGACCACAAACAAACAAACAAACAGTAGCTTCTTAAAATACTGTATCTTCCTCCCTAACAAAATTACCCCTGGTCATTGTACATTCTGACAGCTCTAGTTTTCTAGAAGATGCACTTGTCCCTATTTATAGCAGCTGACGGGATTTTAGTTGATTGCATGTGACATTTTGTCTAGACCAGACAGGCAATGTCTACTATGGAAAATTCATTTTGGAGAGCAAGGCAATATTTCATACTTCAAAGGCCAAAAGAATAAAATGATTTCAAAAGATGTATTGCCTTACGTGCTTTCAATGGCAAAAAGCGTCAATTTTTTTTAAGGAGAACAAGCTAAATAACTATAACCAAACTGTTCTTTGGATAGCCCTTCAATCATTTGCTTTACTCCAGAGTATTGCTTAGTAAAGAGTGTTGCCTGTTTCCTATTCTCCGACACGTTCTGAGGTTACAAAGATTTGCAGGGAAATAAGATGGGAATTAACTCCACCTAAATTACCACTGGCATTTCTGGCCTTTGCATTGGTGATTTTGGAGCTCAAAGGCAGAAACGTCAGGAAGAGTTTTATCCTTTGCCAACAGAGACAAAATCAGAGAAGGCATGAAAATAAATCCCAATTAAATTTGAACATTGGAGGCTGAACTCTGTCTTTGTGTATCTAGATGCCTATTTAACAACATGGAAATGAGATGCAAAGACACATATTATTATGACTTTAAAACAGATGACAATTGCTTCATAATCCCTAATGATAACAATAATTCCTTACATTTGTAAAGTGCTTCTCCTTTTACTAAGGGTTTCCGCATATATCATCAAGGTGTAATTAAATAAAGGTGTAATTTAGGGAAAATCAATAGTTAACAGGAAAAACACTTATCAATTCATACCTTGCCATTTGATAATTTAAGAACTAAATGTCTTAGCATTCAATCCTTGTCACTACTCACAACTATCAGGGAACAGTTGACATTTTTTAACACAGTCCCTTATCCTAACCAGTTATTACTTGCATTTAAGAAAAATGCCATCTCATATACATACCACAATTTTCTTCATCACTGTCATCATCACAGTCAGCCTGACCATCACATCTTCTGGAAGCCAGAACACACCGTCCTGAGCTGCACTTGAAGTGACTAGGTGAGCATTCTGTGAAAACAATGGGCCATGTTACTGTCAAGAGAGAAAACCCAGAACCGTCAGCTAATTTATCTATTTATATGTGGGATGTTGTGGAGAAGCTGTTACTGAAGATAAGATAAGAATGGTCTTCCATTCAGCAAAGCTGAAATAGCCAAAGTTAACTTGGCTTTCTTCTGTCTCGGAATTTTTGTCCTTCAACCTTGGCATCATCTCTTTGATCAGCTGTTTAATATCTTTATGCTTTGCTGCAATTAACTATCTTTCCGAATGGACTACCTAACAACTGCCAGAGCTTGAAATGTCCTGTGGTCAATGCTTCTAACTATCTAGCTACTTTTAATGTGTCAATTTGTTTCCCATCCTAATCTTTCCACCTGGTGGGCCGGTCCCCAATTCTATTTCTCTACCCGATGATGCTACACTGCCAAGATTTCCGAACACTCTGCATTTGAAGGAACCAAGCCTTGATGTTCCCCAGTACCTTCAGGACCCCTAGTATAAAAGCAGTATCCATATATAATGGGCTCTGTGAGTTAAGTGCCGTTAAAATAAATACCTGGAATATTAAATTCATCTCTGCAATTTATTTTTAAAACGAAGACGATGCCTAACAAATGAGCACCAAATTCTTCAATGTAATCAAATTTATAGATTCATTCATCTATGTAACCTAAATGGCAACTAAATAGAAAAAAAAAAAACAGAGAACCTTCAAAAGGCAGCTGATAGATTCGTCCATGTTAGATACCCCACTGTAATTAATTTAGAAATTAACCTTCTACATCTTCATCAGGCATTAGGCAGGTTTGATTGTCTGAATTTTCCTCTGGAAATTGATTGCAATCTGTGTCTTCAGGCCACTGTAGGCCCACGACCCCGAGAACAGACTCACAGTGTTCTTTGGCGTGCTCACACAGTGCTCTAAAAGAGTAAGAAAGACCAAACATTAGAAACACAAAGGGCTACATCTGAGATGTTTGTTAGGAACCTATGCAGAGTTTTAATTCTGTGTGGATGTAGGTCTGTGTGTGTATGTGGTGTGAGTGTGTACCAATATATATAGATGCACGCATATATAATAAGTATTTGGGAAAACAAAACGAGTAATATCTCTACAAAGGAAACATTCCAGCAACATACTTTCACCAATAGAAACTTCATTGCAGAAACAGAAATAGAGATTTGTTTCATTTTGTTTTTTATTGAAATATATTTGACATATTGTGTAATAAGGTATAAGACATGTTGATTTGATACATTTATATACTGTAATATGGTTGTCATTGTTGCGATAGCACCTCTATCATGTCATAATTCTCATTTCTTTTTTGTACTTGGAATAATTAAGATCCAGACTCTTAGCAAGTTTGATGATTATAATACAATATTGTTGCCTGTATTCACTACACTGTGCATTGTATTTCCAGGAGCTATTTGTCTACTAGTTGCAAGTTTGTACCTTAAACAACATACAGGATACAGAGTCCCTTCTCCAGTTTGCCTTTCTCGTTCTCTCTTCTGTCCCTCAAGCAGATACATTCTCCAAGGTTTTTGTTCCAAGCAGGGAAATCCCTAATCTCACTGTGAACAGTCTGCCACCAAAAGTGAAGGAATCTGTACAAGCCCTCATTCTCAGGGGTTGCTCCCTCCAGTGACAAGCCACGTGAGCCATGGCATGTGCCAACCTGGTTTATCTAAGGTATTGCCTCCATTACTCAGCTTAGAAGTATTGTCGACAAGCTTCGTACTTCTCCCAAACCCGCCTATGTTGAGCTCAAGTTGGTTAAAACGAAGTCTGTTGTTCTTGTTGTTGTTTTTAAAGAAAAGATATACTAAATATTGTTCTGGGTGCTTTCATGTGTGTTTTCCCATTTGTACCCAAAATATTTTTATAACTGAGGTATCAGCATGTCTCACAGAAGGTTTCTTTACTTCCTAGGGAAAAAAAAACATGCTTTTGCCTCAATGTATTACCAAGAAATTAATTACATGGTTAAAAAAGCAGACACAACCAAAGTAAGTTCCTAGGCAAATTTCTTATTTCCTTTCAAATACATTCTTATTTCTCAAAAGTTTCAAACTTTCTAAGCGAATTTCAACAAGGTAGGGAATAGTTAGCAATCGAATGGGGAAGTTTCAGAGAAAGCTCTGTCTACATTTAAGTCTGGACAAGGCAGAGCATAACTCGATGCTGGTTTAGCCTAGGAATTTGGGGCAAAGACAAAGCCGTGGCGTTCCCACACTAGTTTTGCCCGAATGGGAAGTTCAGTAGTATTCAGTAACTCTCTTTTGGACTAAATAGTTTTGCTGCAGATTTATTAAAAATGTATATAACACAATTGTTGCTGCTTGTTTAAATTAACCATATGACATCTAATTTATACGGAAGACCGTATAGTGCCCAACTCTACTATTTCCTATTTTTCCTATAAAATGGAAATAACGCAATATGCGGCACTATAACTCCAGGGGGCGCTGTTCTCATAATCTATATGGTGCTCAGCCATAGACAGCGCCCTGATGGCAGGGACCGCCCTCAAAAGGTTATTATGAGGATGAGATGACAGAAGTATCCTAAAGTACTGAGTACATTGTCAGGGCTCAATAATGTTAGATTCTTCAGACTCATAACAAAAACTAAATTAAGATCAATAAATTGGCTTGGCAAAAGTAACTATGCATTGCGTCATGAACATATCAGTATATTATTCTTGTCATAATATTAAAAAAATTTTCTTATAAACAAATATCTAAATGCAAAATTTATTTTGATAACCACTGAGAATGAAAGATTTAAGTGTAAACCTAAGAAATAAAACTAAAGTGTCTAAAAGAAGTTTACCAAAATGCTAACTGAATAACATTTCAGGATCAATCTCATCTCAGACTTTTTAATATTAAAATTAAGCCGTGAAATTATAAATTATATGTGGATATAAATTTGTTCCAGAGAATATTGCATCACGAAATTTTTTATACATATGAAAAGAAAGTCAAATACAAGAATTTGTTAAGTGCTACTAGGAATAATTATTCACTGTCATTGATCTTGCTTAGCAAAAGTGGAATAAGATTTAGAAATAACTTGTAACATCAAATTGGTAGATTTTTTATCAGCGATACTTGAAAGGGCATTTAACAAAATTTTCAGAACTATCTTGCACAAGCCAACGTTAAGCTTTACTCTCTCTATTTGTACAATTTGTTCAGCTCCCCAAGTCATTTTGAAATTTTATTGTTTCCTGTCCCGACTCTACGATGCCCCTACTTTGTCATCCATTTGATATTCGGTATATAATTTATTGTTTTCCCATCTGTCCACTATATTGATAGTATTGCTTTTTCTTAAAGCTCTAAGTGACTTCTGATCCCAACATATGGTTTCCATGGATACCACTCACATTTAGAGAAGCACATCTGTATATTCACCCCTTGATGGAAAACATTCGCCCTGGAGCGAGCAGCAACCCACCTCTGTGACAGCATCTTGTACGCGCACATTCTCTGACTACAACCCCTAACATAGAAGTTGCATAGAAGAAGGGCAAAATGGCCACCATGTGGCCGTGTTCCTGTCCTATCATCAGAGCTATTGTTTATTCAGTGCTGACAATCCATCGGAAGCACTTTACATTTATGCACTTCCATCTAATCTCACAACAACACGACTCAACAATTATGGCTATCCTGATTTTGCAGGTCAAGGAACAGAGGCTGTGATCTCTGAGGCATCTGTCTCAGGCTGCACAGCAGCTACAGAAGAGCCAGACTTGAATCAGACAGTGGACTCCAAAGGAGCACTCTTAACCCTTAGGACATCACTCAAACCCTAGTCCAAGCCACACTCTTGAAACGCTGTCCCTTACAGTTGTCCCATCTCATCCTCGAGGACACATTCCAAGACTCCCAGTGGATGCCTGAAACCACTTCAGATAGTACCGAACTCCATACGTACATACTATGTATTTTCCTATACTCATATACCCATGATAAAGTTTAATTTACAAATTAGGTACAGTAAGAGATTAACAACAATAACTTCTCTTTGGCATTTCTGAATTGTCGGCATCACTACTCTTGTGCTTGGGGCCATTATTAAGTAAAATAAGGGTTACTTAAACAGAAGCACTGCAATACCAGGACAGTCAATCTGATAAGTGAGAGCTCCTAAGTAACTAACTGGCAGGCATCGCAGCGTATACAGTGTGGATACACCAGACAAAGGCATGATGTCAGGGTAGGACAGAGTGGGATGCAGAGGGATTTCATCACATTACTCAGAACAGAGTGCAATTTAAAACTTATGAATTGTTTATCTCTGGAATTTTCAATTTAGTATTTTCAGACCGCGGTTGACCGCAGGTAATTGAAACCGCAGAAAGAAAAACCACAGATAAGGGGAGACTACTGTATTTCATTCAAGCAGGTTGAAAAACATCAGTGATGTCCACCCCCTGTCCGATCTCTGAGGTTGGCGTTATGTCTCCTTCAGGCCACTCCCTGTGTAACGTCTCTAACTTTTGAGATTTATCGGAAGGCAGCATTTTAAACACACATCAACGTTGTCAGAGGAAGAGGTAGATAGTCTCCTTCTTCTGCTAACTCACTTTTTTTTTTGGTGAGGAAGATTGGCCCTGAGCTAACATCTGTGCCAATCTTCCTCTATTATGTATGTGGGTCACCACCAGAGTATGACTGATGAACTGAAACTGAAAACTGAGACTTTATTTCTTGATCTCAAAGTCTGCACCTAGCACAGTGCCAGAACGAAGGAAGGAAAGGGGGGGGGGGGGGGGCGGTGGAGGGAGTGTCAGGATCCAAACCTGCGAACCCCAGGCTGCTGAGGCAGAGGGTGTGAATTTAACCACTACAGCAGTGGGCCAGCCCCCTAACTCACATTTTTAAAAATGCTTCTTGATCAGCCAAAATGACACATATGTGATTTTATTTGACTTAAGTCCACAAACTATTATCAAAAGGAGTTCATACCTCCCTTGTTTGGAAGTTGAGTAATGAATTCTTACTCAAATACTCATTTTAGAATTCCCATTTCTTTACCTTTAAATAGGTAGTTTATTAAACACAGAGCTCCTTAGCAAAATTTGCATTCTGTCTAACTCAAACTAAGTCTTCATTCCCATGGTTCTCCCTGGGGGAAATGAAGATGCTTCGGGGAGACCTCATTGTATTACCTGCAAGGGGGGATACGGTGGTTGGTATTCACATCACACTTTGGTACCAAAATGGTGCAAGCAAAGAACATGAGGTATTTGTAGCAGTTGGTTTGAACAAGTGCAGGGAAGAGAGAGGACTCCCAGCTGATGGATGCTTCCTTTTGAGTCCTGTGGCCAAGGTAATTTGGATAATTTGTATGGTTGTAGGGCAAATTCATGCAGAGTTCCAACGTAATTGGTTCACATTGACCTAACAAGAAAACATACATACAGATACATACATATATATATATTAATTTCACATATAAAATAATTTCTTAAAAACTTACAAAATTGAAGTCTATCGTACCCTCTTTATAGTAGCTAAGACTAGAATGCAAGCAGTATATAATATTGCTGTCAAGATAAATAATTTGGTTAACAAAGTGCCAGACCAAGATTCATTTCTGTATATGCAGCTGCTAGCGGAGTGTCCAGCACACGTTTTAGAAAGTCTTTCTCTTTTTTTTCCTTGGCTCAACTTATCTGAAGTGACTCTCTTTAATGAATCCTTCCACTCACTTTAATTTGCCTTCTTCTTCTAATCTTCATTACTTCTAAACTAGTATATCCCCCATCATCTTCACAGCCGTTAAAAAGAAATGAATTTGGCTAAATAGGCAACTAGATGACTTTTTTCTATTTTCTTTGTTGATCAACAGATTTAAATACAAAGCTACAAGATTTCAGGGCAAGGGGAGGCTGAGACTGGTTAGATCTCCACTGCCAATGAGATAAAAATCTTAACTCATTAGCTTGGCATCCAGGCTATTTCACACTTCAACCACAGCCTAACTTTCCAACCTCATCACCTATGACTATCCCGTCAACAACATTTCCTTGGTGACACCAGACATTTTGAGAATTGCTTGCCTTTATGGGCCCTGCTAGCTCCTCTCTTATCCCTTTCATATCTTGATATACTTGTAATCACCCCTCAGATTCAGTCATGCTTCTAGCCACCAGGTGCAGACATAGCCCCTGCTGCCTAGCATGATGCTTTCCCATCCTCCCCACCAAGTTAAAGCCTCCTTGACCTACAGGACTCAGCATAAACACCTCTTCCAGGAAGGCTTCCTGGTCAACCACTCTCCCCCTCCTACTATGAGTTTCTGCTAGGCGCCATAGCTTCTCAGGCATGTTCCAGCCATAGACTCATTGTTCTCTGCTGTATTCTTTACTGACTTGTCTCCCTCACACAATTGGGAGAATTTTGAAAACTGAGACTTTATTTCTTGATCTCAAAGTCTGCACCTAGCACAGTGCCAGAACGAAGGAAGGAAAGCGGGGCGGGGGGGGGGGGGGGGGGGGGAGGAGGGAGTGTCAGGAGCTATCCTAGGAACTTAAAATGTAAAAAATAAAAAAAAAAGAGTCCCTGCCATTGAGGCACTCAACAGTCTTCATAGGAAGAAAGACATGTGTGCTGGCAATTGTAGTATAATGTGAACAGGCTAGAATAGGGATATCGAACAAATGCTGGGAGCCCAGAGGGACAAGGTGGTGCAAAAGGGACTCAGGAAGACTTCCAAGGATAAATGAGCTTTGGGCAGGTTCGAGGGAAAGACCCCCTGTTTCCTACCCCTGTCGACAGAGGATGTGCCACATTTCCGGAGGTGAGAGAGGTAATCAAGTGAGTGTCTTGGTAGAATCAGCCCAGGCTGACTGAAGCCTCCACGCCTTATTAAGAGTAATTATTCAAATTAGATTTGACTAAGAAGTGGTACGCACGTAAATAGATTAGCAATAAGAACTGGGGTGAAATATTAAAATGGCTCGAGGACTATTTCTCAATTTAAAGAATCTGAGGGCTTCGCAGAGGTTATGTTGATGAGGAGCCTGTCACTGCCCAGATTAAAAGTCTCACGGACAAAGCCTAGTAAGTCTCTCAGTTTCCTGGTGAAGACGTAACACTGTAAAGATGGCATAATCTTGAGGATGAGCACAGGGTGCAGAGAAGAGAAAGAGACTGAGGAGGTATGGGGTTGGTTCAGTGTATCATTTCCTTTGATTTGTGAAAGAGGAGTAACATTTACACATTTTGATTTCAGATTACAAAAACATGCGTATTCCTCTTAATGATAAAAATACAAAAATGCATAAAGAAAAAGTCCATCCTCTAGATCTACCATATGATCCAGCTATCCCACTGCTGGGTATTTATCCAAAGAACTTGAAAACACAAAGGCATAAAGATACTTGCACCCCTATGTTCATTGCGGCATCACACACAATAGCCAAGACTTGGAAGCAACCTAGGTGCCCATCAAGGGACGAATGGATAAAGAAGATGTGGTATTTCTACATGATGGACTACTACTCAGCCATAAGAAATGACTAAATCCGGCCATTTGTGACAACATGGATGGACCTTGAGGGTATTATGCTGAGTGAAATAAGTCAGAGGGAGAAAGTCAAATACCATATGATCTCACTCATAAGTAGAAGATAAAAACGACAAAAAAAAAAAACACATAGCATTGGAGATTGGACTGGTGGTTACCACAGGGGAAGGGGGGTGGGGGGAGGGCAAAAGGGGTGATTAGGCTCTCATGTGAGGGGATGCACTATAATCAGTGTTTGGATGGTGAACATGATGTAATGCATACAGAATTCGAAATATGATGTACATCCGAAAAAAATAAAAATTAAAGAAAGAAAAAGTCCATCCTCTACCCACTCCCCAGTCTCTCACACACCTTTCACTCGCTCATATTTGCACACACAGCATGTTCACGCAGAAACACAAGTTTGTGTGTTTTTGCCAAGTAGACTTGTACTATTCCGATTACTCAACATTCTTTTGCTTAATTATTTATCAGGACCAGCTTCCAAGTCAGTAGATATGGCTATAACTCTATATTTTTCTCAACTTCTTTAATATACTTATAATTTACAAAAATGGGATCATTGGTACAGATTTTGGTGCAGCCTTTTTCTCCTCGACTGTCTTTCCTTCCTCTCTCTTCCTCTACCACCCGATCAAGTTCTAATTCTTCATCAGTGTATTTCATTTAGTTGATTCACAGACATAGCACATAGATAACTGTCCTCTCTTTTGATATGTGGAGAATGTGTCACTTTCGATTTGGGATAGGATATAGCCTTTAAGTGTTTCAGAGCCAGGGGAGATGAAAGGATTAAGTTATGATCATATATTACCCCAAAGATCTTTATTGAATGTGGTAAGGTTGATTGAATCTTGTGCTTTACTCCTTCATAAGGCGTTCTTCACAGAGTGCTAAGCAAGATAAACTCTCAAGATATCTGTCAGCCTCAAATTCTATGATTTATGATATCAATAAGCTTTTTTATCTTCAGCATTAGGCTCACTCACTAGCCTGATTTACAAGAGCCACTAGAGGGCGATCGCGTCACAAACATGTGAGGATGATTAAATATCCAGGACTGTTTTCAACGCACGTTTGACGTAACGCCTAGCGCGATGCCCTGAACATAGATGAGGTTTAATAAATATCTGTTGAAAAAATGATCCTGAGGGAGTCTCAGTGATATCGCACCTTTCAAAGTCTGAGAGAAGATTTGTTAAATTCAGCCTAAAGAAGGAATTAACTAAACGGTGTTATATCCTTGTCATGATGTAATCAATACTCTGAAGCTACTGGAAATCATGTATTAAATGATGGTCGTTTACACGAGAAAATGTCACTTTTCAACATCCATTGGCATATATAATACTCCAAGATTCATCCTTGCCTCAAATTCTATATCTCTATCATTACTATTTTAAACAGCTTGATGGGTTATTATAAGGTGAACACCCTTGTAACTACCATCTAGGTCAAGAACTTGACTTTGCCAGACATCCCAGATGCCCCTCCATATATCCTGTCTTCTCTTAACCTTCTCCTCACCCCCGAAAGTAACTACTGAGATTCATAATTATCACTTTCTTTCTCTTCTTTATAGTTTTATTACCTGTGTGTACTGCACCTTAGACGCTATAGTTTAGGCTTGCCCATTTTTTAAAGTTTGTTTTATCTTTGCAAACTCTTATAATGTGGGTTCCCCCTCTATCCCTTTATTTTTCCTTACAGTTTAACTATTGAAGAACCCAGGGACTTGACCTGTAGAATGTGCCAGAGTTTGGATTCTGCAGACTCCTGGTGAGATTAAACATGCTGCCTTGTCCTACCCATTTCTGGAACACTGGCAGCTGAATCCAGAGAGTTGATTAGATATCATTCTTTTGGAAAGACTCTAAGTGCTGTGGTGCTCTTTCATCAGAAGGCACATTGTGTCTGATTTCTCTCTTTTTGCGATGTGGGCAACTGTAGATGTTCAATGCCTTGACCCATTAATTCACTGTGTTACCAAATGGTAATATTCTAATTCAGTCATTTATTTTTCACTTACTAGTTCAGAATGCTTTTAGAAAGAGGTCATTCTCCTCATCTACTATTTGCTCCCAAGGACGGAAGTCCTTAACCATTATGGTGTTTGGCTTTTCTACCACACCCCTATACTATTTGTTCCTTTCAACTAGAGACTATAAAGAGAGGGCAGGAATTGATAGACCATGGGAAATTATTCAAAGAACAAAGCTGTTTATTTCTTCCTTGGTGTTGGAGAAAAAAACGCATGAGCACACATGTAGAACTAAAGGTTGATGGAAACTATGGGAAACTTGGAGAGTGCCTGGACGTGACAGTCACACCTGGCTTCACGCAGCCGTGGTGACCATGGGCACAGAGTGGTGGGGAGAGACACATGTCCAGCAGCTGCTCTTTCCACTGGCTTCCCCTGCTCTGGATTGCACTCTATCATGTGGAAGTGATGGATTAGTCCCCCTACACCAGAGTGAGGGGATATACTATTCCTGCTCCTACCCTCTAAGGCAACGATATGTCTGTATTTTCCCTCCCAGCATGACGCAAACATGTTTAAAGATTCTGGGCTATGAGTGGATGTGGTGATAGTGGGATATTTCAAGTTTATCAGCACACAATATCATCAGAGATGTTGGTTTTAGACTTTTTTTTTAAATTGTAGGCATTTCTTGGAATCTGAGATAAGCCATGGACCTTCTCCATTGAAAAATTTGAAAACTATGAAGACTTTTTCACATCCAATTTCAGGGACGTCAGTTCCCCTGAAGCCAAGTCATGAATAAATCTCTAAAGCAGTAATTCTCAACTTTGGCTACACATTGGGGTCACCTGCGGGATTTTCAAAATACTGATGCCTGGGTCCTACCCAGTATATCTTCAAGGACCATTAGAAAGTTATACAGTATTTTATGGGATGGCAAGAACCGGTATCTTCAATGACTAGACTCCCCAGCAATTCCAGTGAGAGCTGATCCCACCAGACAGAATACTGCAAACTCACACTCTCTATTGGCAGGAAGCTAGAGAAAGAGACTGTTGTTCAGTTGTGGCTCAGAGTCTAAGTAGTGATAGTTTCTGATAGTAGTAAAGATCTTCAAATAATTAACCACACTTTCAAGTGCATGAGGAGTTTTCTGAGAGGAGATGCTACTTTTGCATCTTTACAGAGAATGAAGCACACACATACCACTCTGAATCTCTCTGAAAAATGAGGAATAACGTCTTTACTCTCAACTGGAAGTCAAGCATATACACTGGTTTTAATAACACAGAAGGAATGGGAGATCAATGACTAGTCCAGTGCTCGGTACTCAGAAGAGGGGATGTTCAAATGTTTGCTGGATATATATGGAGAGAATCTGGCAAGAACATCCATAGTGACTGAGGAGATGAGACAGTGAGATGCTAGGGAAACTGAGCATATTTGAAGAACATAAGGAGAAAACCAAAGTAGTATCTATGAGTGGGAAGATGGCAGTATATTCTCCCGTGTAGAAAAGTTCTCTCCAGAAAGTCTGGAATCATGTCTCCCTTCCTTGTCATTAAAGTGCTCAGTGCCCATCCCAGTGCCTGGAACATCATAGGCACGCTATAAATACTGCTTGAATGTATGAGCCAGAGTTGATCTAGTGCCCTTCCTACAAATTCCTTTTTTGATAAGTGATAACGTATTTTTAAACTTTTAATTTTGAAATATTTCAAGCTTAGAGAAAATCAAATAACATACACCCAGTTACTCCCCACGCAGACTTGACACAGGCTAACACTGCTCTTTCAACTTTTTTGAGTCTAACAGTAAATGCCCTTCCATGTCAGACAACCCTCAACACTCTAACAATAAACACATGTCTGGGAGAACACTGCCACTGTTCAAAATTCTTCATCCTAAGTTCAAAGTGAAGTAAAAAAATAATTCTGGTAAAATTCCAGGGCAGATTTGGAGATAAGGAAATTGAAACAATGGACTCACAACATATATATACACTCATATACACACAGACACAGACACACATATATACATACAGATATATATACACACATACACGTATTTAAATCAGTTTGGAGTAAAATGGCAGTGCATGTTAGTGGTCAGACTAGTATCTATCTGAACTGTTCTCTCATATAGAGGAGGGGTGGGTATTCTGCTTTCAGCCAAACACTTAAGTGCTCATGAAAATAAACAAAAAGTCCTGTTGATCTGGGTTTTCAATTGGCTGTCTCCCTCGCACTCCCATCCAGCCCATTGTTTTCACCCCTTGAGACTTCCTAATGGTTTCAGGGGCACCCCCTATAAATTCTATATTGACCTAGAAGGGTCACTAAGTAAAACTAGGGCCCAAAGCTGCAGCAAATCCAAGGACCCGCACCCTTCAGCCTTTCAACCTCCCTGCTTCCAGTGGTCTTCAGCTGTGAGGACATGTGTTAAGAAGTCATACCTTCTTGCCAACTGAAAGTTGACAGATCTGCTTCTAAATGTCAAGCCCCAATTTGAAGGGGAGGCCAAAAACTAGTTATAAAAAGTGAGAGAAGTGAGTAGAGTAAGAAAGCAGAGCCCAGGAGTAGGGAATCATTACTAGAAATCAGAGTCTTTGTGGGGTTTCTGATTCACTTTAAATTTCCTGTGGGAGTCTACGTGGTCATCAGCTGCTCCTGCCCACTCTGTCTTCCTCCAGATAGCCAATCTAGAGAGAGCCACCTGTTTACACCATTTGGAGCTGTATTACATTGTCACTGAAACAAATTAACATAAAGGTGGCAAGATTCTTATAGGTCAGCAAAGTTCCTGGAAAGGTGAGAATAAGTTTTACTGAAAGAATAGACCGCCAAAGTAGCATGTGGCTATTTAGATGAACCTCATCTTTGCATCTTGGATAAAGTTTCCACTTTTGAAGCTGTGCTTTGTAGAGGAAGAAAGATAGCATCTGCCTGCAGATGGAGCCAAGAAAATGATCTATAGGAGCTGATGTTGAGTTGAAAGTAATGGTAATGATACTAAGCAATGTGGATTTATGGTCCATTCACAATGACACATTTGTTTCTGATTTAAGTTAATTAAGACCATTTTGTTTCTTTTCTGCTACCATATGCAGCCTTCAAAAAAGAAAAAGAAAACAGATATATACATTTTTGAAGGGATTCCAGACTTCAGCATTTTAATGTCAATGCAAAAAGAAAAAAAGCGGAATGCATCCCCTGACACGGTGATTGCATTTGTCAGCTGCTGTACTTACTACAGTTATTTGGACTGTTCGGGTCACAAAGAGAGCTACCACCACACGAATCAAGGCAGGAATTGTAGCGGCATCTTTGGTCACCTTCTTGACATGGAGTCTGACCTGGGGGGGAAAGGCACAGGCGCTTTCATCATCTGTAAATTCTTACACGAGGGTCGGAAGGATCGAGAACGCCTGGTGGAGCTGAGGAATGACACAGCTTTAATTTCCTTCCAGCTTCTCCAAAAATATTAAACACATGTTGAATAGGTACTTTCTGGATTAGTTTTCCTGGCAACTAAATACAACACAGTTATTCCAAAATGATTGTGTAAGAATGAAGAAATAAGAGGGAATCTGTCCTCTAAGAAAACAGGTTATTGTTGCTTTTCATGGAAAAAAAGCCAGTTTTATATTTACGCGGGTGCATATACTTGATTACAAAATAAAATGCAAGTGATTTGAGGGAGAGGCCAACATAAAGATTTTGACATTTTGAATCTTAAATTATGTTATTTTGAAGACTCATTTGCTCCCAATTCTAGTCTTCTCTCTAAGGAAAATGCTTTCCCTAATAATAAATAGGGCATGAACACCAATGCAATAAGGATATTTCACCATGGTCCAAGTTTTATGCAGCTGCTATTTATAGTTTCTGTATGTCCTTGGAAAGTATCATTGGCCTAGCTGTGAGGACCTGAGAATTGGGTTTCTTGTTTCCAAATGAATGACAACAGTAACATCAGCCTAATGGCTTTTCCTTAAGTTGTGTAGAGAGGAAACTGCTTTTCCCCTTGATTTCCTGGTCATTTGTGGATTGAATGGATAAGGTAATAAATTACTGCCCATTCTCTTTCTAGCTCTCCCCCATTATAGCCAATTACTTTCAGACGTGTCATCTGGATCTAGAAAATCTTGCAAGGCATTTTTAAGTATAAATAATAGTGTGTATGTACATATAAATATTCTTATCTATCATTCTAAGACAATGTTTATTATACAGGATTCTCTTCTTTCAAGTACCGTTAACATGCAACAGTATATATCAAAGCCTTGAATAAAAGAGATGGCACTCTTTTTTATCAATGTCATCAGGGTCAAACTGTTTTTACAAGGTAAGCTAGGCTGATTTCCATGAGTTTATTCTTTTAAATAAATTTTATTAAGACAACACGCATTCATTATTTCAGCAAGATACTAAATGCCTGGTACATGACAAGCTTATATGACAAGCTAGGCAGTAAGCATTAAAAGATAAAAGAGCGTGATAGTTTATATTCTAATTAGGGATATAGTCATGAACAGAACCGTACAATGCTGTGTGAGCATCGCTCCACCAAAGGTACATGTAAGGAGCAGCAGAAGCAAATCAGGGCAGTGGGGGACTGCTTCTCAAAGGAATTTTTCAGGCAGATGGGGTAAGTTGGGCTAACAGGGAAGGATGGGTTTCCCAAGCAGACAGCAGAATACGCAAAGGCCTGGAGAGGGTAAGCGCACAGGCTGGAGTCACTGGAGCTTAAGGGAGACTAGACAGGAAGGCTGAGAGCAGAGCCTGAGAGTTGGGAAGGCCTGAATCTTCAATAGGGCCTACAACCCTGGGAGAAGTGGTCCCTGCTTCCCTCTCCAGCCTTGTCTGGCAGAAGCAGCTTGTGATCACTGTTGACAATTATTCTGTAGTGGCACACTCCCCTTCACTCTCAGCTCTCTAATCACAGTGGCCTTCTCCCAGCACCACAAACTTACCTTGCTCCTTCCCTCCTCGCGACCCTTGGCCAAGCAGTTCCTTGTGTCTGAAGTGCTTTCTCCAGCCCCACTCTCCTTTGTTAACTCCACTCATCCTTCAGATCTGAGCTCCAATCTCTCTTCCTCAGGGAAGTTTCCCTGAGGCTTTTTACCAGGGCGTGCATCCCATATATGGCCTCCTAGCACCCTGAATTTTCCCTCATGGCCTATGTCACCCCATGGTTAGACAATGACTTGCAGAATGATTTGTATGATGCCTATCTCCCCCAGGAGCCTGCAAGCTCTGTGAAGCATTTTGCTTGCCAACAAATTCCCAGTGGTTTGACCATGTATTAGCACCACAATATACATTTATTAAGTTGAATGCATTAAAGAAAATAATATAAAAGATGCTAAAATTTTACGTTTCGATCCATTTCATCATATGACTTTCTTACATCTCACACATGTCAGGAAATAATCTAAAACTCCTGCCATTGCCTAGTGAAGAATCCAAAATTATTTCAAACAGAGTTGAATTATGTAGAAAGAAAGAACAATATGATCCTAAGGAAGGTGCTTGGCTGATAGGCACACAGTAACTCATGTTACTAGAAATCCTAGAAAAGGATTTCCTTCTGAATTTTAGAATTGGTAAAATGAAGCACTCCTTATCTAATTTTGCATGTAAGAAGTCTGTGATTAAAAGGCTCTCTGTTTAGATCTGCAATGCTTTTTCATCAAGGCTATTCTAATGATCAATATTCATTATGACAAAACTAGTTTAGCTAGAAGTGACCAGTCTCATTAGCTGATGGGTGATAAACACAGCCCAAGATCTGCTTTAACACAATGACCACGTAATAAGAGCTAACATTTGTTGAGTGCTCACCACATGCCAACTCTACGAAGCAGTCGTCATTATTCTAAGTTTACAGACACAGACACGGAGACATAACAAGGTTAAGTTACTGGCATAAGGTCAACCAGATAGTGGGCAGCAGCACTGGGCTTGACCCCAGGCAACAGGGCTGCAACAACCACATTCTTAACAACGAGGCTGTGTCGGCAAGTGGCGAGATCACTTATAAATAAATGCAGTGATTTTCAAGCCGAGGGATATTCTTCCGAACCCTGTACTGAGAGAGGCTGCCATGCAAACTGGGGCTTAAAACAATCAGTGTGGAGCTTTCTTTTCTGACAGAAGTAGGCACACTTTAGAAACCACCTTATTTGATTTGCCTTTTCTTTGAGTTTTGCAGATGATATCAGACTCCTTTGAAAGTGTTCGTAAGCCTAGTGCTTCATAAGGTGAGGCATTAAACTGCTGCCCTAAACACGGTTATTTTAGGAAGCTGTTACACTTAATTTTGGAAGCCAATTCCTTCTAATTGGAATCTAATCCAATTGAATACCATATACTAAACCTTTCTCTCTATCACGGTGTTGCATTTCCCCAGGAAGAGTTAACTGAATCCACCCATGCTGTTGAAGTGTTTAACCTGTACTCTTCACCCTTAGGAATGATTTTCAGTGTAAGTTGGTCGAAAATTATACTTAACACAAGAAAGGGTTTTCTGGCTGCCCAGTGCTGTGGGGACCACTGTGTCAGGCAATCTGAAATTATTTATGTGGGAATCCTATTTAAGCATGAGGCAACTTCCAACACTTTGCTTTGTTCCCGAGGGAAGGTCCATCAGTAAGGAATGTTCCAGGGGCCGTAGCACACACTCACTGTCACCGCAGCTCTCCTCATCACTGCCGTCCTTGCAGTCCTTGTCGCCATCGCACTGGAAAGTGCTGGGGATGCACTGGCCATTTCTGCATTCCACTAGACCCTGGCTGTGACAGGCTAGGGGAAGCCAGAATGACAGTCACTTTATTCATTAGTACTTCTGTCCGTCTGCAGATCACACAAATGATTCCCGTTTATCTGGCATCACCAAGAAATAAAGTGTTCTGAGTATCTGAATGTTCTGCATAAATGAATGAATCATTAATTTTTTAAATTCTAAGTATCTTTGAAATGGAAAATTTTCTTTGTCGAATTTCTAGTGCCTTATTAAATAGCGCTTACTGCAGAGTAACTTTTTTTGAGAACCACATGATGGGAAGTAGTAGTAATAATTACTACTAATTAATTACTAGTAATTAATAATTTCTACTAATATAAAAGCCACAATTTATTAAAGGCTTACTATATGGCAGTAACTGTGTGAGGAGTATTATGTATCTAATCTCAAATTCTCAAACGTGTAAAGCAAATATTATCAACGTTGTTTAAAATAAGGGAATTGAAGCTTAAAGAGTTGAGTGCACATCTCAAAGTCACACTGCTGTGAAAACGTAGGGCCAGGACATGCAGGTGAGCTTCCCTGGCTCCTCACCCCGAGATTTCATTCCATACAACCTGAGCTAATGGGCCAGTGAAATGCCATATGAGAAAGAACTTGCATAGTACCTAACACAATAAACACTTCATTTTGAAACTTGCTTATGATGTCTGATATTTGAAAGGGATCATCTAGTGGCCATTAACCTTCCAGTTCATGAAGCTTGTCTAATTTCTATCCCTACTGTGTTTAGGACATCAGAAACCTGTGCGTCATTGACCTCAGCCTTCCCTGAGTTACTGTCTAATACTAAAAGTCCCTAATCTTGAATCAAGGCTCCATACGAGAATTGTTATACTTGAGCACCATGTTCTTGCTTTCCCAAGATCCATGAAGATACCATCCTCTCTGTTCCACTGGGTCCACTAAGCAAGGACTCAGGTGATATTTCATTTCAAATTCAATTCAGGGCAGAGGAAAGCTGGGCATTGTATTTATTCATTAATTTATATGACTTGTCTTATATCAAAATAAAAACCATGCAACCCACATTTCTATTTTTGCCTCAAATTATAGGCAAATCAAATATTCAATCTCTTATGTATCAACTTTTCTACTTTTAATAGACAGCAAAAGATAGAATACAAAGTTTAATTAGTTCAAACATGCATAAAATGCATCACATGAACTCTTTCAGGTCAATATTCTTTTCTTTTAACACCTAGCTGCTTCTATTCAAGTATTTGACTATTCCCTACTGGGTATAGTGTAGTTTCCAGGGGAAAAAACAGAGTTAATTGCCATATTTGATTTCAGTAGCTAGGTAATGTAACAGCTACCCGAAGACTGTTCACTCGCCCAGACACAGAACAGGCTGTGACGTTCTCATTATTATCATATACTCTGTGTAAGTCTGTGAACATTCGAGACTCTCTTCTCTCTGGCAGTTCTCTCCATCTTCTCCCACAAATGGTGCCCGAGGATATGTTTGGAGGCTCCTGCAGGGGAGATCAACTACTCATATATTGTGTGCAGAAGAAAAGTCCCCAGCCTCTGGGAAGAACATCCCCTTTGACAAAGTCACAGATGCAGAAAGGAGATGCAAGGAGCAATGAGAGAGAAAACAGACACTCACTTAGCCAGACAAGCCAAATTAAGCTTGGAGTTTGAGTGAGAGAGTTGTGGAAGTTGGATACACTACACTGTTATTGTCATTACATCACTCGATTACTATCTTTATAGGCTAGGACCAAAGTATAAGAACCTTCTCTTTGAATGTTGCTTAGAGAGTGAAGCTTGAAGATATTTGTCTAAACAGGCAGAAACAGAAAAGTAGGAGAAATGAAAATCCTCAGGGCACTCACAGCAATTGGCCTCATCAGACTTATCCACACAGTCATGGTCACCGTCACACACCCACTCTATTGCAATGCAGCGCCCATCTCCACAGCGATGCTCCTCAGTGGGATTGCAATCTGGAGAAAACAAAACTCATGAGGATGTAGAGAACCAGCATGACCAACACTTAGAATCATACGGCTCATGCTTCCAGCTGAAGAGAGTGTATTCCAATTATTCCAATACCTTCAGTAACTTTGCTATGATGGGTCTGGCATAATTAGAATGTCACCTCCCAACCAAGCATGTGGCCCACTGGCCACCATCACTATGAGGTAAGACCTGTCTGCTTTTCAGATGAGTAACAACTGTCAGCTTTCTCAGGACCCATTGTTTGTTCTTGCTGTTGTTTTTTGTTTTGTTTAGTCATTTTCTTTCCTCATGAAAAATTTTTGATTTTTACACTGGTTCAACTAAACAGAACTGTGTGATTTGGGTTTGACAATGTAGCTGATTTGATGTATTTATGGCAATTCTATCATGTTTCTAAGAACTGTAACTTACCTCTCTATGGGAAATTGGGAAGGCAAGTATCTCCTCCTGTCATCTTTTCTGAGGCTGGGCTTAGGTTTTTCTATTGAACTTTTTAAATATATAATTCATATTTTAAATAACTGTATATTTTAAAGAAATGCAAAATATTTACATTTTTTTCATGATTCTTTTTAGCCTGGATTTAATCTCTGTCCCAAACTATACTTTCCTGGGGAAAAAAGATAACTAAGTGATGTTTCTTCTCATAGAGGGCAGAATCTATAGGATTTTTTGCCATGAGACATTCAATAACCTTAATATAAACAACCTTTTAAAACATGTATATGGATTCATGAATACCAGATTTAATAATGAGGAACTATTATGAGTTTCTATTAACAGTGCCACTGTCATTGACAGACTCATGGAGGGACCATGGATCTTAAAGAGTATTTTGGAGCAATGTAGTGAAGTATATGGAAGATGAAGTACAGAGAAAAGAAGAAAAGACGCAATAGGTGAGATGCCTGGGCAAAACGCAGATGAGTCACCACATGCTCAGCCTGCTAAAGATGGGCAGCTGGGCAGAGACTGGTCTAAGGGAGCGTTGTAATTATTACCATTAGGCAAGGACAAAGTCACCCCAAGAGCACAAACTGCATGATATCCTACTGTCTTCAGAGTAATTATGTTGCATGGTAAGACCATTCTTTTTCACACACTGGCTATATGCTGGTCCTCTCCACTGACATATCCAACTTCCAAGCCACACTGTGCATTCCCCCACCCCAACCTCCCATTTTTCCTCTCTTTTCTCCAGTTATGGTAAAAAGAGGGTTGGATTAGATGATCTCTAAGGCCTCTTCCAAGCATAAATTCTATGATGTATACAACTACAACTGCCTCTCATTCTTTGTCCTAAGACTGATCAGTACCAGAAGATAATCCATATCTATCTAGTGACTCATAAGATGCTTTGTACATATACACATTTTCCACTATTTTTATGGATGCAGTGAGGGGCAGCTAGACAGGCACTTCTGGAAACTGCCTAGTTTCCCAGCATGGGGCCATTTCTGACACTCACCACTCTGAGGTGTTCCTCTGATCATACTTTGATCCTTCCCCACCACTCTTTTTGATATTCTCTAATGCTGAATATTATTTCACATCATTTGCCCAGTGTCTCTCCCCATCTCAGCTTGCAAAGTTCTATGTCACTCAATAATATACGACCTAAAAATTCTAAAGTTAATCAAAAAGTTAAATAAGCAAAAGGAGTTTTGCTGGTTTTAATTCATGAGATGGCCTCAGAATTGAACACAACTCTTTAAAAGACAGGTTCATTCTTTTTTTTTTTTTTTTTGACATATAATTGACAACAGCATTGTGTAAATTTATGCCAAGTGAGGTAAGTCAGAAAGAGAAAGACAAATACTGTGTGCTATCATTTATATGTGGAATCTTAAAAAGCTGAATTTGTAAAAACAGAGAGTAGAATGGTGGTTACCAAGGGCTGGGGGTGGGGAATTGGGAAGGTGTTGTTTACAGGTACAAACTTGCAACTAGTAAGTAGGTTCACTCTTTAAAAGATAAGATCAGCTTTTGTACATAAAACAAATGTGCCGTCTTAATCCTAGGTGTTCCCACAGGAGGAGACCTCCCTGTAGAGCTTGGCAACAATATAAAGGAGGGGTTTTGGTTACATATAATAAGGGGGTGAGCACAGACAGTATATCTGTCTGCAAAGTTTTGCTCGACAGCTCAAAATCTAAACATGAGCCACGGGGTGTAACCAGAGAAGAAATAGAACACTTGCAAAGAGAAAAAATGTTAACAAACTTAACCCACCTTTCCACTCCACTTCTTTAGCATTTCCGTAAGACTTTATGCAAGAAATGTTACATTTACATGTAAGACATGACTGAAACTAATAACTGAAAAAACCTCCTCTTTCTAAAAATTAAGAAACCAACCATTTTGTAATTTAACCTGCTAATCACCATTAACAAACAATGAGCTACAAGTTCTTCGTTGTAAATTTCTGCAATTTTAAACGAAAACGTTTAGGGAAAGAATGCTACTTACCACAGTTTTGCTCATCACTCAGGTCCCCACAGTCATCATACCCATCACACACGAGGCTGTAATTAAGGCACTTGCCCGTGTGACAATGAAACAGATCCTTACTGCAATCTGCAAATGAGAGAAGCCACTGATGTGTCACAGAACAGAACAGGATGTTACAGTAGTACTTTATTTAGCAAAACAATATACTGGGAGGAAAACTATAGTGGTAACCTGGTCCACACCTGTTGTTTCACAGGTGAGGAGACGGTGGTGCAGAGACATCCAATGACTTGCTCAAGTTCACACAACAAGTTACCGCAGAACCAGGACTAGGACCTCTGGCTCCCAAGCCAGTGCTCTCATCACTTTCTGAGAGTCTTTATCTGAGTTCCACTCTGTCACCTGAAAACTCCTTTATAGTCAAATATGAGAAAAGACATTCTCAACTCACCATAGTTCCTAAAGAAGTTCGTGATCATACAGAATGAATGATTTTAATACAGGGTGAGTAATTATTTCCCAGAAATGTTTCCAACTCACCATAGTTCCTAAAGAAGTTCGTGATCATACAGAATGAATGATTTTAATACAGGGTGAGTAATTATTTCCCAGAAATGTTTCCTTTAAAATGAAAGCCTAGTTTTGTCAATGGTAGGCATAAACATCATGGAGAGAGAAAGTCATTTCTATTAGAGAGTTGTTACTTTCACACAAATGTTATTGCTTAATTGTCTTATAACATGACCCTCAGATAAGCAATACTGTCCTAGATTGTGGTGGCAAGATAAAAATAAGTGATATGGAACCTCAGGAAGCTTATAGTTTAATGTTGGAATAAACAACACGCAAGGAAATTTCAATCAGAAGATAGGTCTTATACTTGGGTAAACTGGAACTCTTATCCTGGTTCTGCCATCTACTAACTGTGGGAATTTAAGTGTACTGGTTAAAATCTACGAGTCTGTGAACTGATTTATGAAATTAGGATAAGATTAATTACTTAACTGGGTTTTGGAGAAAAGATTAATAAAATAAGGTGTGTTAGATGCCAAGATAACTCAGTGGGGAAAGAATACTCTTCAACAAATTGTGTTGGGACAATTGGATTTCAAATGTGCAAAATTTAACTCTGACCATTACTTCAAATCATACACAAAAACTATCTCAAAATGGATCATAGACTTTAATATAAGAGCTAAAATTATGAAGCTTCTAGAAGAAAACATAGGAAAAAAAAACCTGTGACCTTGGGAGGCAAACAATTCTTGGATATAACAACAAAAGCACAATAAAAGAAAAAATTAATAAATGGGTTTCATTACAGTTAATATTTGTGCTTCAAAAGATGCTGTCAAGACGGGTCGGCCCAGTGGCACAGGGGTTAAGTTCGGGTGCTCCGCTTCAGTGGCCCGGGCTTCGCTGGTTCAGATCCTGGGTGCAGACCTGAGCACCATTTATCAAGCCATGCTGTGGCAGGCATCCCACATATAAAGTAGAGGAAGGTGGGCACGGATGTTAGCTCAGGGCCAGTCTTCCTCAGCAAAAAGAGGGGGATTGGCGGCAGATGTTAGCTCAGAGCTAATCTTCCTCAAAAAAAGATACTGTTAAGAAAATGAAAAGACAAGCCACAGACCGGAAAAAATATTTGCAAATCATGTATCTGATAAAGGACTTACATCCAGAGTATATATATATATATACAGAATCTTACAGTCAACAACAAAGCAAACAAACCAATTACAAATAGGCAAAAGACTTGCCTAGAAAGTCTTCAAGAAAGACATACAAATGGCTACCAAGCATATGAAAAGGTGCTCAATACAATTAGTCATTAAGGAAATGCAAATTAAAATCACAATAAGATGCTGTTATATATCCCTAAAATGACTATAATCAAAAAGACAAAGAATACCAAGTATTGGCAAGGATTTCAAGAAACTGAAACTCTCATACATAGTTGGTGGGGATGTAAAATAATGCCACTTTGGAAAGTAGTCTGGTGCCTTCTTATAAAGTTATTTATAACCTTATCCTACGATTCGTGAATTCCACTCTTAGAAATCTACCCAAGAGAAATGAAACATATATCCACACAAAGTCTTGTATGTGAGTGTTAATAGCAGCTTTATTCATAACAGCCAAAGACTAGAAACAATCCAAATGCTCAAGTACTGGTGAATGGATAAACAAAACGTACCATAGCCGTACAATGGAATACTATTCAGCAATTAAAAGCATCCAACTGTGCAGGGATGGTTCAAGATCCGCAAATCTATCAACGTGATACACCACATTAACAAAATGAAGAATAAAAATCACATGATCATCTCAATGGATGCAGAGAAAGCATTTGACAAGATACAGCATCCATTTATGATAAAAACTCTAAATAAAATGGGTATAGAAGGAAAATACCTCAACATAATAAAGACCATATATGACAAACCCACAGCAAATATCATTCTCAATGGAGAAAAACTGAAAGCTAGCCCTCTAAGAACAGGAACCAGACAAGGATGCCCACTGTCACCACTCTTATTTAACATAGTATTGGAAGTCCTAGCCAGAGCAATCAGGCAAGAAAAAGAAATAAAAGGGATCCACATTGGAAAAGAAGAAGTGAAACTGTCACTCTTTGCAGATGACATGATTTTATATCTAGAAAACCCTAAAGAGTCCACTAAAAAACTTTTAGAAATAATAAAGAAATACAGTCAAGTTGCAGGATACAAAATCAATGTACAAAAATCAGTTGCGTTTCTATACACTAACAACGAAGTAGTAGAAAGAGAAATTAAGAATACAATCCCATTTACAATTGCAACAAAAAGAATAAAATACCTAGGAATAAACTTAAGGAAAGAGGTGAAAGATCTGTACATCAAAAACTATAAAACATTGTTGAAAGAAATCGAAGAAGGCACAAAGAAATGGAAAGATATTCCGTGCTCTTGGATTGGAAGAATTAACATTGTTAAAATGTCCATACTTCCTAAAGCAATCTATAGATTCAACGCAATCCCCATCAAAGTTCCAATGACACTTTTTACAGAAATAGAACAAAGAATCCTAAAATTTATATGGAACAACAAAAGACCCCGAATAGCCAAAGGATTCCTGAGAAAAAAGAACAAAGCTGGAGGTATCACACTCCCTGATTTCAAAATATACTACAAAGCCATAGTAACCAAAACAGCATGGTACTGGCACAAAAACAGACACACAGATCAATGGAACAAAATTGAGAGCCCAGAAGTAAACCCACATGTTTATGGACAGCTAATATTCGACAAGGGAGCCAAGAGCATACGATGGAGAAAGGAGAGTCTCTTCAATAAATGGTGTTGGGAAAACTGGACAGCCACATGCAAGAGAATGAAAGTAGAACATTCCCTTACACCATGCACAAAAATCAACTCAAAACGGATTAAAGACTTGAATGTAAGACCTGAAACCATGAGACTTCTAGAAGAAAACATAGGCAGTACGCTCTATGACATTGGTCTGAGCAGCATATTTTCAAGTCCCATGTCTGACCGGGCAAGGGAAACAAAAGAGAAAATGAACAAATGGGACTACATCAAACTCAAAAGCTTCTGCACAGCAAAGGAAACCATCAACAAAACGAAAAGACAACCTAACAATTGGGAGAAAATATTTGCAAACTACATATCAGATAAGGGATTAATATCCAAAATATACAAAGAACTCATACAGCTCAGCAACAAAAAAACCAACAATCCAATTAGAAAATGGGCAAAAGATCTGAACAGAGATTTCTCCAAAGAAGATATGCAGATGGCCAATAGGCATATGAAAAGATGCTCAACATCATTAGCTATCAGGGAAATGCAAATCAAAACTACAATGAGGTATCACCTCACTACGATGGGAATGGCTATAATTAACAAGACAGGAAACAACAAATGTTGGAGAGGGTGTGGAGAGAAGGGAACCCTTGTTCACTGCTGGTGGCAGTGCAAACTGGTGTAGCCACTATGGAAAGCAGTATGGAGTATCCTCAGAAAATTAAGGCTAGATCTACCATATGATCCAGCTCTTCCACTGCTGGGTATTTATCCAAAGAACTTGAAAACACAAAGGCATAAAGATACTTGCACCCCTATGTTCATTGCGGCATTATACACAATAGCCAAGACATGGAAGCAACACATGGGAATTCGTGCCCATCAAGGGAGGAATGGATAAAGAAGGTGTGGTATTTATACACGATGGAGTACTACTCAGCCATAAGAAATGACTAAATCCGGCCATTTGTGACAACATGGATGGACCTTGAGGGTATTATGCTGAGTGAAATAAGTCAGAGGGAGAAAGTCAAATACCATATGATCTCACTCATAAGTAGAAGATAAAAACGACAAAAAAAAAAAAAAAACACATAGCATTGGAGATTGGACTGGTGGTTACCATTGGGGAAGGGAGGAGGTGGGAGGGCAAAAGGGGTGATTAGGCTCACATGTGAGGGGATGCACTATAATCAGTGTTTGGACGGTGAACATGATGTAATGTATACAGAATTCGAAATATGATGTACATCCAAAAAAAATAAAACTTAAAAAAAAATAAATAAAAGCATCCAACTACCGACACGTGTGACAGCATAGGTGAACCTTAAAAACATTATGCTAAGTGAAAAAAACCAGATACAAAGACAACTTATTGTGTGACCCACTTATGAAATTTCTGGAAAAAGCAAACTTACAGATACAGAAATCTGAGCAGTGGTTATCTGTGGCCGAAGAGGTAGGAGTGGGGACTGACTGCAAATAGATGGGAGGGAAATTTGGGGGGAGATGAACAAGTTCTAGAGGTGGATTATGGTGACAGTTGCACAACCCTATAAATTTACTAAAAACCAATGGGTTAATTTTATGGTATGTAAATTATACCTCAATAAAGCTGCAAAGATGTTCAAAATTAATATATGTAAGGAACCCTGCATTTAATAGAAACTAGATTTCTTAAAAGTGTTATCTTTTCCCTTATTTAAGGTGAATTAAGTTTAAAAATAGATTCTTAAGGCTGGAGAGCGATGATGGAAGATGGGTAGAATTTCAGTAGAGTGGATAGGATGAAAACTTTAGCATGTTTCAAGTACAGGG